AAATCTTATATTAGGGCTTCAGACAGTATTGTATTAGATAATATCAGAAAATAGAGGCTTTTCAAATATATTGAGGTATTTTCAAAATAATAATAATAATAATGTCCTCCAGACCGAATTTCGGTCACGGCGGCCAACGGAGACAAGCTATCGGCGCAGGACAGGATTATAGTGCCCAAATGTACGCGCAAGCACAGGTGCGCTCTCTATTCCCTCACGCTCATAAACTCTACATAATTCGATGGGTCGGTAAACCGACACGACCGGAGAGAGATCAGGCGCAGGACCAACGGCTTTACGTGCTTTCCGAGGCACAAGACAACACCGCCAACTTCCTGACTCAGGGCAGATACTGAGAATTTCTTGACGTAAAAACACAAAAATTGATTATTTGGCCCGACCCGGGATTCGAACCCAGAGCCCCATGATCAGCAGTCGCACTACTACAACAACTAGACCACCGAGGCAGACAAATTTTCAAAGTACCATTTATATCGTCTAATTATTTATTTATTACATTCACTATTAAAAAAGGAAACAAAAGAATGTAAAGGGCCTTACGCCATTAGGCATTCTCTACAAGTCAACCCATATAATTTCCAATGATCCGCCACGATGCTCTAGTGCGTTGATGTACTTCGCATGTCCTCGAAATTTTTAATTCCTTTGACACCTTAGAGCTCTAATATATATACAGTAATATATGTCTTATTGTCGCCACACACGGTCACTTCAACTGATCAGTTCAAACTAAAACTGTTGATATTTTTTAAAATATTGAATTTTCGATGTATCGATAAATAAACTTATACAATATGTAACGTAATTAACGCACACCCTCTGACACCCCAATTAGTATATTATGTTATTATCATAATACATACACTGAATTTTTAGTTAAACATTTTTATGCACTGATTATTTATCAAATTAGTTATACTAATTCCGGAAGAATGTTGTGGTCACAGTACAAATCCACGAACGCAGACTTTAACGTGCTTGAAATAAAGTTCATTTTTCTTTATTTTGATTGAATGACAGAATTAGTAATAATACAAATAAAACTGCACTCTTAAAAGTCTTATTGCCTTAAGTTACGGTCCATTTCAGTTTGTTTTGACTGTACATATTTAGTGTAACTGTAATTTACGTAGTTTTAATTATTTTTGAGATAAAAATTACCTTTTTTTTTAAATTTATTATCAAATAAAAATTTATAAAAATTTGCTATCCGGCACAGCGAAAAACCACGCAGGTTTGTGTTGTGTGCTGTTCCGTCTACATTTATTTAATACTATTCATTACAAAAATGGGGATAACAGCTAATATTTGTTATGGTAAAAACATTTTAATTTATACTTTATGTTATCTTTAGTAAGTTCACTTCTAAATTTATTATCCAGACCATTTATTAGGCGAGGTATTATGTAGGCGCTGATGCGCTCACCATATTTATTTTTGGATGGTATTGTTATTAATTTTTTTTGAGTTACTTTGCGGGTCTGAATTTTGTTTGAAACTGTATGCTGTATACCTAAATTAAAGAATGGTTCCTTTAACAATTGATATTGAACTTTATCATGGATATTGAGTACCTTACAGAATTTAAATATAAAATTTTCATTTGTTTTTGCCTGAAGTTTAATTTTTATAGGTACAATCGCATTTAAAATCCTAAGTTGTAGTTTATTAATGTACTGTAGGTGTGATTTGTCTGTTCGTTCGTAGCTGCTTAGCCCATAAGTTATGACTGTATCAGCAAGGGCGTTATAAAGCATCATTTTGACTCGAAAGTTTAATCGCTTTCTAATTATAAACATGTTTGCCAAAAAAATACCTATAATAAAAATGATAGGAATCGATTCAGTAAACGATTCTGAACAAACTACTTTCTCAAAGTTGCGTTAATTATGTTACGTGTTGTATATAAAACTCCGATATTGATATATTTATAATAATCGCTATATCGAAAATTCAATATTTTAAAAAATATCAACAGTTTTAGTTTGAACTCATCAGTTGGAACGATCAGTAGAACTGACAGTGTGTGGCGTCCATTAGACCACGTTTATTCACAATGATTGTCTACACCGCCGAGCAAGTGCTAGCTCAGCACTAACATAAAATAAGGATAACAAACTAGCACGCAGTCCACCTGATAGTAATTAGACGGTGTTGTATATCTTGTGATTTATTATGACGATATTCAACAATAAAAGTACAACATTTTTGTTAAATATTTTATTGACATATAATCATACTAGCACACAATATTTGTTACATATTCGCAATCATCTAACATTAGCAAACAACAGCATCAATTAGTGTCTTCTTTGTATCAAGAATAATTATTGACTAAGTGAACACCACCGTAAAAGCATGCGTGCGATATATCAACACGTATCTAAAATTCGATTTCAGTCAGAAATAGTTTCGTATCGATCATCCAAATTAGACGAACCGATTCCACAAAACTACGGTATATCACAGAAAAAGTAAACACGGCAAGACGAACTAAATGGTGGCAACCAACAGCTGATAATACGAATGTAAACCCAAGAAATTCCAACCGCGCAATCGTTTGCTATGCACAAACCAATGAGATTAGCTTCTTCTGTCTTCAAAGAAGCAGCGCTTTTTACTACACTAGATACATTTGGATTTTGGCGATTTCTTTGATGAAGGTATATTTAAAGAAAAAAGAAACAAATAACGCACTTTTTATAGAATATTAGGCTTTAACAGCATATACACAAGGTGGAAAACAGAGACTTCTTCCTTATTACCTTAGACGTTTTTAAATTAGCTTCGTGCTTTATAAGAGCCTTTCGCATAGCACGAGTCTTCTTGGGTCTGAGATCCAGTGGCTTGTACTTCTTATTTTTGTAATGGTTTCGAAGATTTAACTTCATTTTCTGATGGTATACAATGTAAAATTGAGTAAGCCTTATTTACAATTCGTATTTTCGAAAGCTTTGACGTTACTCCACCAGTAACCTTTGCAACTGGAAGGTTAGTTAATTCTGCTTTTAATTCTTCAAGTTGTTTGAAGAGTTTTTTTATCTTTGGTGCGCAACTCGGAGTACTTAATTACCATACCCATTTTGAAAAAATTGAATTATTAGTTTATGTTACACAACTAACACACATCTGAATATCACTTATTTATTGTACTCATTGTTGAACATATTTGGTCCTTCGAGACGGATTAGTTGCACCTAAATTTAATAAAAACGAACCTATGCAAAAATATTTTACCGAATGTCCAATTATACTCAAATGTTTTATTTAAAATGAGCAATCTGATATAATTTGGATGCTATGATTTAAACATAAAGGTTAAATCATAGCACGCCACAGGCTTGTGCTTTCCAGTCGTGGAGCACCTGTACAGAGGACGTGCGCACAATCACGCTCTAATTGTGATAATGACCAGGCCAGGCGCACTCCGCACTTTAGGTTTAAAGCTACAAGTACACGGCGGGCTCGTCTCAACGGGCCAATTCAGAGAGTTGCAAAGCTTCGGCCGGCACGCGATACAGATCGATATTAACTCACGTTCGTCAAGTATTAACTATAACTTAAACTAAAAGAGCCGATGATGTTCATCTCGCAGAACACTCTCGATTAAGATACCTTTCACACGAAAAAAACTATTAGAATCGGTTCATCCGTTAAGAAGCTATGACCCCACAGACAGACACACAAATATCCAGACACACGGATACACGCGTTAAACATATAATAACCCTGTGTTTGCGTCCGGGGTTAAAAATGAAATAATAACAAGGACAAGAACCTCACGTTTTTCACACTTCCAAAGGACATCGAAGAGTAAAGAAATACGTTTACATATAGGTAATAAGCAATAAGGTAAGTATTAACCTACCAAACCAATTGTTTACTTTTGTTATTCTTATTTATGTTACCTGTATTTACGTATTTATAATATTAATTATTATTAAATAATATATCTGTCTATAGGTAATGAGTAATGAGGTAAGTACAAACCTATCAGATGTTTACTTTTGTTATTTTTATTTTGTCACCCGTATTGAAGTAGTTAAAATACATAAGTATTAATTATTATTAAATAGTATATGTGCCTATAGGTTATAAGTAATGAGGTAGGTAGGTACAAGCCTATCAAATGTTTACTTTTGATATTCTTATTTATGTTACTCGTATTTAAGTAGTTATAATATTAATTATTATTATTATTATATAGTATAGTTAGGTACTTACAAGTTCTGTTTTAAGTCAGGTAAAGCTTTGTGAAGTAAAGGTAGAAAAGTAGGTACGTATCTAAATTGTATTTTAGATTTGGTGGGTACCTACCATTAACTAACTACAACTAAATATTATGTAGTAAGATTTTGAGTTACTATATAGACTTTGTAAAATAAAATAGTTCTCTCTCTTTTTTAAAACAAATGTTATTCCTATCAGTCCATAACTAAGAATACTACTAGTTAATCACAACTTAATAGAATTGAAAATAACGGTTTTATTAGAAGTACCATTGTCAGTAGTACTAAATTTTTACGACCGGGAATGTTTTTTTTTTGGTCACCAACTCTGTTTATATTCCCGTTTACCACGCCAAGCAAGATTAAAATGCTTGTGCTGGAATGGATTACGAAAATGGTCGGCATATTCAAAGTCCGCTGTTCGTGTGCGTTTTCTAGGCTACTGTCGTTTTTATTTTCGTATTGTTCGAAAATAAAAGAGTACCATGATCTGTATAAGTAAATTGTTAAACAGCGTTTTTTTGTGTTTGTCGTTCACTATAAAAAACGAAATTGGAGTATCGATCGAAACTTTACCGCAAGCGGCTTCTGAAATCGTATTCTAAAAACAATATGTACCCGTTTGTGTAAAAATCTATATCTAATAAAAAGCAATAAACAACAATGATGTCTACTTCTCATGTAGAAGGTAGTATAAGTGTGAGAGTAAGCCAAGAGTACATATATATGTTATATGCGTTATATAGTGAATTACATTTTGTAAGCTTGACGCATCATCAGGTCGAAGTAACAGTCGTTGTCAATGGAGACACTGATGCCACTATAGAAGTTCATAAACTCCTCAAGTGTTACCTGAAATAAAAATATATTACTGTTTAGTAAAGTTGCAACCTATATAAGTCATTACTGAGCACAAGCTTTTATTCATCTCCGAGAAGGTTTTAGGGTAAGTATTTGTTGCGATGCCTAAATGACTTGACATGTCTTCAAAAATATTTTTATGGTTTCAGAGATATGCAGGTTTTCTCACGATGTTTACTTTCACCGCGGGTTACGTGTTAAATCAGCGCTTAAAAATGAAATCCGGTGCCGGCGGTAATCAAACCCGGGAGATCTCCCCTTTTCCTACTACGCCCACAATCTCATTCCCAGGGGTTATTTTCATTTATGTATTATGATATATATGATATTATAATAACCCTTTTTGTACAATCCTATACCTTTAAACGAGCAATTCTTGTATATATTATTGCAGGAGAAAATATGAAGACAAATCTGCCCCTATAAAAGGCAGCGCCACCCAGCAACATGCCCTCGCCCCAGTAGGAAAGCTCCACCGCCGGTGAATGACCGCACTTTCCCAGCCCTCCATCAACGGCCCCGTCAGGGCCCCTCTCAGCCTATCCAGGGCTTCTCTCGACCCTCTCAGGGTCCCCCTAGGCCCCCTCAGGGTCCCCCTAGGCCCCCCTCAGGGCATAATTCGGCCCCCTCCGGGCTTCTCCAAGCCAATGCAGCCTCCAGTCTTTCCCTGGGGGCCCAAAAAGGCAGACCCACCGAGGACAACCTCGTACGCTCATGAAGCAGAGCCCACAATCGACGACTACAACACGCTATATTCCGCTATTAGGAATATCGACGTTAGGGAAATAACAGTTGTATCACGCAAACTGCGCGCGGCCAAGTCCCCCCAAGAACGTCTCCTCGTTCTTGCGGAGCACAATAACCTTTTGTTAGCGTTGTAAGTTAGGTTAACTTAATTAACTTAACTTCAATGACTGAGAGAATTAACCTACCCAGATCTCACGGTCGTATCAAACCTAAGGGTTTATCGCTTGTATCATTTAATATTCGCGGCTTGCGAAATAACCTCCCAGAGCTCAAGCTCTTTCTTCGGAATCGTGAAGTCGATTTCCTCCTCCTACAGGAAACCAATCTCAAAGATAAGGACACTAGAGGCCTTTGTATTAAAAACTTCTCTCTTCTTCGTAACGACAGACCCGACCGCCGAGGCGGCGGAACGGCCATCTATTACAAGAAGACACTTCATTGCTCGCCCATTTCTACTCCGCAGCTTACCAACATGGAAGCCACGGTATGCAGGCTAGCTATGACTGGACATCCGTCCATCCTCATAGCCTCCTGTTACATCCCTTCAGGAACCTATCCCCTCAAAAAGGATTTTGAGGCCATTTTATCTTTAGGCAACTCAGTCATTATGTTTGGAGATTTTAACTCCAAGCATACTGAATGGACATGCCGCACTACGTCCCCTAGTGGCAAGATACTGCTCGATATCACGCAGTCTCTTGATATTACCGTCCATAGTCCTCTCGGTGTTACTCACTTCCCCCGATAACACCGATCACGCCCCCGATGTGTTAGATTTTGCGTTACTCCAAGGAGTTTCTCTCAACCTCGGAGCAATCGAGACACTAGACGATCTAGGATCAGATCACCGACCGGTCTCCCTCATTCTTGGCCATCAGCCACCTCCCCCAACACACACGAAAACCTTCACTAACTGGAAGGGATTCAAAGAGTCCCTAGCTAAAGCTCTGGACTCACAGGACTCTACCATCTCCCTATCGTCGGACTTAGATAGTCCCGAAAAAATCGACACCGCGGTCGACTCACTCTCCACCCTTATTAAATCCTCCCTTAAGGAGAACGAAAGGGTCGTCCCGGTTGCTAACAATAGTGGGCTTCCCCTACATATTAGCAACCTAATAAAAGCCAAAAAAGCTGCTTTCCGGAGAGCAGCAAAATATCCCACCCCCGAATATAGGCGCGCGGCCAATCGTCTTCAACGAAAACTCCGCTTCCGCCTCTCTGAATTTCAAGATCTCGAAAAGAGTAAGCTCATGGAGAATATCTCTCCATCTCACACAGCGTACTATCAGATGGCTAGAGCCCTCCGCATAGACGCTATCACCCACACTCCCCCTCTCTCCCGTCCCGACGGCACGGTTGCCTTCGAGGACGAGGAAAAGGCTGAGTGCTTTGCAGATAGCATTGCCGCTCAATGCTCTCCCAGTTCTCAACCCGTCGACCCCTCACACGTCCAGGCAGTGGAGGATGAGGTCCGCCGCCGGAGCTCACCCCCCACGGCCTCTGAACCTACCTCTGTGTCCAATGATGAGATCTCATCCCTCATCAAAGGACTTAAGCCTAAAAAGGCTCCGGGCGCGGATGGCATCTCCAACCAAGCCCTAAAACACTTTCCCGAGCAGGTGTTAACCTTTTTATCTATTATCTTCAACGCCTGCTTCAACCTTAGTTATTTTCCCACTACGTGGAAAGAGGCTACTGTGATTGGAATTCCCAAGCCAGGCAAGCCTCTCAACCTCCCCCTCCAGCCATCGCCCCATTAGCCTCCTCAAGGCAATGGGCAAGCTCTTCGAAAGAGTCATCCAAAGTCGTATGAGGCGCTACCTGTTTCCCACAGACGGCGACCCTCTTATCATTCCCCATCAATTCGGCTTCCGAGCCAAACACTCATGTCCCCAACAAGTTCACCGCATTGTGGAATATATCCTCAGCGGTTTCTATCCTCGTCGTCATAAGACCATCGCGGTCTTTTTCGATATAGCCAAAGCTTTCGATAGAGTCTGGCACACAGGCCTTATCTACAAGCTATATAAAATAGGTCTCCCCGATCGTCTAGTTCGTCTCGTGGCCTCCTATTTAAAACATCGTACCTTTCGTTTCAGACACGAAGGCACGCTCTCTTCACAGCGAACTATCAAGGCTGGTGTCCCTCAGGGCTCAGTACTTGCTCCTCTGCTGTACATCATATTCACCAACGACATTCCCATCCCGTCGAAAGGTGTTCAACTCTCCCTCTTTGCAGACGACACTGCCATCTACTGCAAAGGTGTCTCACTACCCTTCATACGGAACAAGATCCAAAAGTCAGTTGATGACCTAGGAGCTTGGTTCAAAAAATGGCGCATCGATGTGAACCCGGAGAAGAGCTCCGCCGTTCACTTCGATTATAAACGACGCCGTCTCAAAAACACTCCACCAATACGTATGCTAGGGACCCCTGTCCCCTGGCATACGTCCGCCAAATATTTAGGTGTCACTCTAGACACAGGGCTCACTTTCAAGCCCCACGTCAAAAGAGTAACCCGGCACGCACGTTTTTATCTGAGTAGGCTCAACAGTATGTTGGGCCGACACAGTAAAATGTCCCTTCGAAACAAGCGTACACTCTATAAGGTATGTATACGACCAGTCATGTCCTACGCGGGCCCCGTCTTTGCCCACGCAAACCCTAACATTTTAAATGAACTCCAAATAGTTCAGAACCTATTCTGTCGTCGAGCTGCGAACGCACCGTGGTACGTCCGCAATGCCGACCTTCATCGGGACTTAGAGCTCCCAACAATTCAACAATTTCTTAAAAAACTCTCTGAGAACTTCTTCAAAGCCTCAGAGTCGCACCCAAACCACTTAATTCGTGAGGCAGCTTCTTATGCAGCCCCACCCCCCTCTCGCTATCGTGTCCGCAGGCCGAGAAACTCTCTCTCGGACCCGCCTAATAAACTTTCAAACGACCTGAACTGTCTCCTGGCAGCTCAGGCCAACTCTAATTAAATAAAATTATTGTAATATCTGACATTAATTTGCCTTCGTAGGCACTCCCTCAGCGGCACTTAGCCGCCTGCGCCCTCTTTTCCCAAAAGAGGGTCGCTCATGATAAGGCACAATAGAGCTTAATCAGCCGGTTGCCTGTCCCTAAAGGCGGTTTTTAGGGGGTATCACTTAGGGTCCCCGGTAGGACAGTGAGTCCCCCATAACCACGATAGACCGGCTATCGTGGTATGCGTAATGCATTTTCCGCCTCCCTACGTACAGGGTAGCCCTTTAATTGCTTCGGGCGCAAAAAAAAAAAAAAAAAAAAAAAAAAAAAAGCAACATGCCCATTTGGCCCGCGAGCCGTCGACGCGTACACATCGTGTTGATAGTGATTAATTGCGTGACCGACATTTTTCGTTTTATTTTTAAATTTGCATTTAATTATTAGAAAATAGTCTATGCCCAGTTTTGTTTTGAAATTATTTGATTAAGTTTGTTTGTGATAATTGTTTTTCTTTTTTTAAATTTAAATCGTTATTTCATTTACAAAATCAGAAGTGGGATTCGTAGCCACTATCCATTTTCGTTTGTTTTCCGTTTTAGTTTCATATTAATTGCTCAAAATGTCGGATAACGAACGACGCGGAAGCCGTTCTCATAGTCGAGAACCGAGTAGGTGACGTAGTAGGTATCGGGACCGTACCCCGGACCGAGATCTTAGGCGGGAAGTACAAATGATGCGAGCTCGTTTACAAGCGTTAGAAAATCAGACGACCATATCATCGGCACGTTCGAGACAGTCACCGGAGAGGCGAGATTCGCGTGGCTCTCCGCGACGCGGGCGCTGCTCGCCGCCGCCGTTACCGACAGCGCGGCGCCAGGCGGACGCGCCAAAGCGTCGCCATGCGGGACGCGTCGGAGCGGCGACGCGAGTTCCCGCCAACGTCCTGTTCGGAGCGGTCCGCGCAGAGCTGCGATGCAACGCCGCCTTTGTTGCCTCGTGCCGGCCCCTCGGTGGAAACCCGTGCACACCTGTGGCTGCCAGTGAGTGTGGTAACAGATGCATTGTGGATGCTTTTGTTTCTAGTTCGGGTGAGTTATTTCTTGTTTTGATCCTAGTTTACATAACATTAGTGACTGGTGTGAGGATTTTGACCGTGCAAAATTGTCAAATAATTGGAGTGATCACGAGTGTCTTGCGCGAATAGGAAATTGTTTGAAGGGTGATGCTCGTATGTGGTTACGCGAGTGGGTTACGAGTGATCGTACGT